TAATAAGAATCTAGGGCAAGCTTGATTAATTTGGGATCGTAATATAGCTATCACACCCAAGTACTCACTCTATACTTCTCGGTAGTTTGAGTAATTTTGTCCAATTTGGCTTTCTCAAGTCCAAATGGGTATTCATGCAATACAAGTGATATTAGCTCAAGTCGGGTATTACTATCTCTAGATTTAACCCTTTTATTAGGGCTATAAATTTCTTAAGTTCCTTGTTAGCCTAGTTTTTCTAGACTTAATCCATCTTTCTCAAAAAGAGCCTAAGTCACAAAGGCATGAACCAGTGTTTGCAACCACTAATTCTACAATTCTAGCATGAACTAGGCTAAATATCACTAACCCATAAACAATCAAGCCCTAAAATTCAAGACCCATTAAATAACCCACACTAGGGCTTGGTCACAATCCTAGATATGGGTCTAGCTACTCATAATAATAGCATAAATCAAAGATAAAGAGAAGATAAAATCCATAATACTAAATTAAAAGATGAAAATCTAATGTTATAAGGTAAATCTTGTACAAAATTTCCCAAAAGGAAAAACCTAGCCGTCTCCCGTACTCAGCAAAAACATAACCTGCCCTAAAATTAACAAAAATATCTATTTATACTAAGCTGAAATTTTTGAACAAAAATACCCCTGCAGAAGTTTTGTTGCTGCATAATTCTGACCACGGCCGTGCACATGCTTTCTCGGCCGCATAATTCTGATCGTGGTCCGCGTTTATTCATATCTGGACCAGGGTTGAACCTTGTTTCGCGGACCGCATAATTTTCACCGTGTCTGCGTTGATACTTTCGCTGCCGCATAACTTTGACGTGGACCGCCCTTCTCATTTTTGCTTGAATTATGCACTCTCTGAACCTTAGCAACCGCGGTCCGCAAAATTCCCATCGCGGTCGTGCTGGTACTTTCGTGACCGTATCTTCTTGTCGCGGTCCACCTTCATGTTTGTGCCCAAAAACCATCTCTCTGATTCTTCATATCGCGGGCCTCAAAATAATGATCGCGTCCACATTGATACTTTCACGACCGCACATTTTTGTCGCGGTCCGCGTTCCACACCTCTTGGCCTAGTTTTGGTTTTTGTTCAAGTTTTGACTCCTTGATGAGTTGATTATGGCTCCTTTGGCTCATTTTGAACAATCCCTGCAAACAAGCATATTAAGTTAGTTTCCGGTAATACCTTCACGCATTTTTGGCCCAAAACAAAAGTAAAAGAGAGCAATTAATAGGCTAAAATCACTACTTATCAGTACCGCCCTCATATTGTGAACCCACGGCCTTCCGAATAAGGCGTTGTACCTCATGTCTCCTTTGATCATGTAGAACTTTGTCTCTTGGATTGTCCCGACAGTGTTTACTGGTAGGGTTATCTCCCCTTTAGTGGTTTCGCATGCTTTGTTAAAGCCATTCAACACCTGGACCGCCGGCACTATTTTGTCCTGTAACCCTAACTGCTCTACGACCCTCAATCTGATGATGTTGGACGAGCTACCTGGATCAATCAACACACGTTTAACTCGAGATTTATTGATAAGTACGGATATCACCAGCGCATCATTGGCGTCCCTGTTCCTGAAATAGTTTTTGGCTCGATCACTCAGGAATTCTTGAAGGTGCCCGTTATTAAACAACCGGGCAACTTCTTCTCTCAATTGTCGGCAATCATCGGTCTTGTGGCTATGAGTGCCATGATACTTACACATCAAGTTAGGATCTCTTTGGGTAGGGTCGGACTGCAATGGTCGGGGCAACTTGGTTTCCTTGATGCGCCTGATGGATGATATGATACTGGCTGTATCAATGTTTAAGTAGTATTCTGAGAATCTTGGTGCTTCTCTACCCCCGAGCAGCCTGTCAAAACCATTCTTGCTCATCAGACCTCGGTTGTTGGGCCCTCGATTGCCTCTCTTTTCGTTCCTTGTAGGTTGAAGTCCGGACTCATTTCCCCTTCAGTCCGCGTTGTATGGTTGGTACCGATCTCGGACCGGTCTTGGCTCATGATCGACGTCTCTCTTAGACCTGTTGTCGGCCCTGATAAGGTAAGCAGATCCAGAAGGGGCTCCGAGTTGATCGTCCTTGACTATAATCTTCGACTGGTACCTGTTGTGGATGTCGGCCCAAGTTACCGCTGGGTACTCTACCATGTTTTGTTTTAGCTGTTGTGAATCCAAGGAGTTTCGGGGGTTAAGTCCTTGGGTAGATGCCTGAACAGCCCAATCATCTGCGACTGGAGGTAGGTCCATCCATTCCATCTGGAACCTCGACACAAATTCCCTGAGCATCTCATTGTCTCTTTGTTTAACCTTGAAAAGGTCCGACTTTTTGGTCTCGACCTTGATGGCCCCGGCATGGGCCTTCACGAAAGCATCTGCAAGCATAGCAAACGAGTCAATGGAATTTGGGGGTAAGTTGTGATACCATATCATTGCTCTTTTGGACAAAGTTTCCCCAAACACTTTTAGTAATACAGACTCGATTTCATCATCTTCCAATCATTTCCTTGGATCGCGCATGTATAAGAGGTTACATGCTCATTCGGATCCGTGGTCCCATTATATTTTGGTATTGGCTTCGGTACCGCGCTTGGAGGGAAGGGCTTCTGGATAAACTTCATGGAATTCGACCCTTTCAATATCGGGGGTGCTCCTAGGATTTGATCACCCTGGAATTGTATGTTTCCACCTTCAATTTTCTTTTCACCTGATTCCACCCACTTCGTTAATGTTTCAAGCATTTTCATTATTTCGGGATCAGTTGGGAGGTTGACATCGATGGACACATGTGAGTTAGCATCGACCGGATCGGCAACTGGGACCCCGTTGGGGTCAGCAGGAGGTACCTCGTTGCTAGGCACCAGATTGTTATTTTCGCCATGATGGCCAGACTCAGCGTCAACGTTCAAGTGGGCAGATTGAGAGTTTGACATTATTAAATTGACTTGAAATTGAGACTTTAAAGAACCAGTATAAAATAGAGTGTGTTATGGAGATTTGTATCAAATCACCACTATTATCCTTAGCCCTACGATGGGCGCCAAACTGTTTACCCTTAAAATGGATAACAATTGAATTTATACGCGATTTTAAGGATACGTGGATTGATTCAACACAAATAATCAAGAATATTAGATAAACGAGTTAAAGATTAAATGAATGATCAAACCAATTGTAATGTTACGGCCCGACTCAAATTTAGGTTGAAGTTTTGCCCTCGATCGGGCTCTTGGTTCGATGTCAACCGTGAATAAAGAACAACAGTAAAGTAAGAACTTTGCTATAGCTGGAAAGCAGAAAAATGAATATGTATTGCCTTGGTATGCATGTTACAATGTGTCTTATCAAAGAAAAAACTTTTCCTTTATATAGTAGGAGAGTTTTACCCCTAGTATAAGTAAGGTAAAAATCTTCCTCTCTTGTTAATTACTGATATGTAACCGTCATCGAGCGAGATCCGCGCTATGATATTCGGTTTGTTGCGGATATCACGGCCCTCTATCGGTCGCCCTCAACCGTTCACTGCACTTTTTGAAGTCTCAGAACTTGTCCCGAGTCTGGGGTGCGTCATTTTATCAGGTCCGATGGCGGGCCTCGATACAAAGAGTTTTCAACTTCGATTTCAATCTCATATATTCATGCTCTTACTTCGTTTGATCCACCGGGATATTGGGGTGTGCGTTATATTATCCCCAATTTCGCCCGTATACAATGTCAAAGTTCTATGGCAAATTACTTGGCCAAACTATGCAGATATTTATTACAGTCTACATCGCCATGACCAATTCAATGTTATTAATATATTCAATTTAAAGTAGTTTGCTGTGCTTGAGCAGCACGATCACTAGTTTAGGCAAGAGGCACAATGCAAGGATCTGTTTTGCAGTTGATCTTAATTTTAAGTAAAGCAAAAGTAAAAACACTCCCACTTTCCAGTAGGCTCCCCACGCGGGTAAAGAAACTAAATACTGTACACAAGAAGAAGAGAAGTTTTGAGAGCACACGTTAAGCTAAATTCAGGATTGGATTATACTAGCCTTATAATGACAATGATTTCTTGCTAGAAACACAATAACTTTATTCTGAACTAATTATCAATAAAAAAGTGTGTTTCTTAATTAAATAATATTGGTATTTGGTAAGTTCTTACATTATTGCACCACCCCCGGTTTATATGTTTATAGTCTTATTTAAAACCTAGATTAAGCAAACATTGAAGACCTCTATGTAACTTGTCCGTGAGTTAGATCACATTAGCGTTTGAATGCTCAATTTCGGTGGTTTATTGGTTATTTTAGATTTATTTTTATATTTTAGTCTCTGAAAATGGAACATAATTTCACCTTGACATCCAATTATGGAAAGTATGGATGAGATCCATAATTGGAAAAAAGACCGTACATGTTTATGGACTAAACCATAGTGTGAAAGGAATAAGCTTGAATCATGTGATACCACACTCCTCGTAAACTTTCCCATCAACCAATTCCCTATTTCAAGGTCATGTGTGATAAGCGGGCTGAGGGATCAATGGTTCATCTAATGAGCCCATCTCTCTGGCTTATTTTTGTTAGTTTGTTAAGTACCTGTCTAGCATAATAACTTAGAGACGGCAAAATTGAATTCATTTTCTTCAAAACATTGGATATGTTAATAGTAAAAAGGAGCTCTTTCTGTCTCAAATTTGAATAATATCTTTTACTTAAAATGGTTATTTTGATCATTCATCAAAGGATACCCTTGATTTCGAGTTAAACCAATTGAGACAATATTCCTCATTTTCAGTTGTGTTTGGGCAATGTTACTCGAAGATACTTGATACTTTAGAATTACAATTGACCATCATAGAGCCAATGTGGTCAAAGTTTCCAACTCCCTACACTTCTGAAAATTTCCAAACAGGATAAAGATCTTCGAACTAGTGGTTGGAAAACAACAAACTTCAGTGACTATGCTGAGAAAAAGGAAAGCACATCATCTACTTTGAAGATTGAATTCCCCACAAAACCAAGAACTTTGAAGCTTTTAAAATGAAGGAATAAGAGTATTAATTGACTTGGAGAAAGGAGGTCTGCAGATCATGGTCGCTTGTTCAAAAGCATAAGCGATCTCAATCAGCTTTGGTTCACTTCCTTTCACCCCTCCAAAGCATATACCAAAAGGCATACCATTAGTACTATTATAACCAGCAGGAACTATTATTGCTGGATATCCTCCAATAGCCAAAACTGTGGAAACACCTGAACCTATGTTCACTAAGGCATCCAGTTCATTCTCTATCATCAGTTTCTCAAATCCATCTTCTGAAAGTTTCTCCATCATCGCCATTGCCTTCCTCTCTTTCTCTCCAATCCCTTTTGTTGCTTCTGCTGCTATGAAAATTTCTTGACCAAAGCTTTTACTTCCTTCCTGTATTTATATTTGCAACAACCAAATAGTTTAAGAGTTCAAATTCTGTGCCAACTCTTTATAGTATATATCTAATATGGTAACTTTAAAAATAGGATAATAATTTGTTATAGTCGGTTAAATTTTACAGTCAGTGTATACAATGTAAATCCATAGTTTTAGCGAAAGAGATATAGCTTGCAAAGGAAAACTTCTATAACTAACCATGTCAAAAGCACATGATTGGAGAAAGGACATACCAATTTTGGGTTATTCTGGTTGAAGGCTATTATCTCAGCGAGTGATCTAACTGGGAGTGTGACTAGCTCTGCTAGATAATTGTTGAGTGAGAGCTTGAACTCTGCTAGTAATGCCACTTCCGCACCACTTTGATTGGGGTCTAAAACCACATCAATATTTGGAATTTCAAGATTATCCAATACAACTGCACCTCTTTGCCTGAACTTATCTAGAAAAGAAAAAAAAAGTTAAATGTGTTACTAAGAGTATAAATCTTGCATAGAAAGGCAAAAAATGATGAAATGTTAAATTACTAAACTATAATGCTCATACTTTTACCTTAGTGTCTGCAAATGACCAGTCAATATCGCATCAGCTTGATACACATCGGAAGGGGCAGANTGACCAGTCAATACCGCATCAGCTTGATACACATCGGAAAGGGCCAAGAAAGGATGTCTTACCACACCCAATCTCTTTCCCTTAAGGCCATCTTCATTGAGAAATTGTTTATAACCACCGGCTGGAATGAACTTTGCTGCTGCCCTTGTTGCTTCAAGGTCTCTTATATCGAAGCCAACAATGGAATCAAGAACATATACAGCATCTGAAACCGTTCTGCATATGGGCCTGCAAATTTGATCATCAGCAACATAATATAATCCTTTTGCCTATGCTGCTTACACTAAGTTTAGATAAACTAAATAAGCAATTGGGCATATCATACATAGACTTTCAAATGTAGTAGCTTTAGGCGCAACACCACACAATAGCGGAAGGTGCTAAAAGTGGATGAGGTAAGCCTTGAATCACATAAAGAAAAGATTTCTTAATAGAGATTATACAATCTCTCAAAATCAACATACATTATAGCTAAACAGTGAACGAAATGGAAGCAATGATACAATAGGATTAAGGCATTATTATTGTTATTACACTTGCACATTAGATCCAGAGTTTCTTCAGAATACTTGTCTACTAGCACAAGTGTGAGATTTAGGAAACATCTAGTTTTTGAAAACATCTAAGTTGTAAATATATTTAGTAGTCGAATGAAAATGGATACAAATGAGAATTCATATAACTGCTCCAACTAGTCTCGGATTGACGCTTAGTTGGTCGTTGATGGAATGAAGCAATTCTAATTTGACAATAGCATACAGAGATTACCCAATTGTGTCCTGTCGAGGAGAGAGGGGAATGACACCAACACGGCTAGTGAGTCCAACGGTGGGTTTGAGGCCTACAACAGCATTGTATTTAGCAGGGAAGATAATTGAGCCGTCAGTCTCAGTTCCTAATGACACAGCCACCATGTTAGCTGCTATAGATATTGCAGATCCACTGCTTGAACCACATGGACTTCCTCCTTCCACATACGGGTTCTGCATTTTCCACAAGGACCACAACAGTAAAATTTCTGACAGTATTTCGTCAAACAAACAATACTATAATTTAGTACTACCTCCGTTCCAGTTTATGTGAACATATTTACTTTTTGGTCCGTTCCAAAAAGAATTACCCCTTTCTAAATTTGAAAACTATTTTGCTTAAACGTACAATTCTACCCTAAATGAGAAGTTTTTATAACCACACAAATATTTTGGGCCCCTTTTTGAATTGTTTAGTACCACAAATTCCAAAAAAATTTATTTTTTCTTAAACTCCGTGTCCAGTCAAACAGGTTCACATAAATTGAAACGGAGGGAGTAAGATATAGCTGATCCCAACATGTTGAGTCATACATTTTAATGGGGCTTTTACAAACTAATTGATGAGTATTAACAAATTATCCAGTATTACCTCTTTATTTTCCTTGATTGGAACCTACCTGAAAAATTCAAAAGTAGTCGTCCTTACGAAGGAAGAGAGAAAGAAAGTAATACTACTTCTATTCTCCCAATTATGTGGCAGCGTTTGACTAGGTGGGAGTATAAAAGTTAGTCATAGACATTTGTGTGTTGTAGTCATTGTTGGAATTTTAAGCTTGTGTAGCTTAAAATGGAGGAAAAAATGAAATATTTGAGTTTCCCTTGACAAAGGGACATTGTCCCATATCGGAGGAAGAAAAGGTTTTTGATGAGTATATATATAATTGCTTTTCTTCTAGCTCTTAAAGAGTTAAGAAAAAGGCAAGCCTCGCGCCGCCGTCGTCGCTCGGCTTCGACTTCGGCTTCGGCTTCGGTTAACGAAAAATTCAATCCGGAATAACCCATGACCCGCGACCCGATTCGGTCAGGCCCGTTTTCTTTCCCGGATTATTTTAAATATATTTTTCCCGCAATATTTCAAACAACCCTTTTCCAACAGCCATGGCTGTTTCTGAAAGGTTACAAACCTTTTCAGAAACAATGCCAGCAACTCTATAAATAGAGTTTGAATCCCAGAATCTTTACTTACGAAATTTTTTGAGTTTCTTCTTCTTCTTCTTCACAATAAATTCCAGTGTGTTTTACAGTCTTCGAGTGGCTCGCTGTTCACCTGCGTTTTGGTACCAACACTCCGATGAGTTAAATTGTTCTATCCTGGGAGGATATATTCCAGCACCTCGGGTACTTGAGGGGAATAATTTTCTTAAGGACACACTGTGTATTCAGTGGGCTCGATTTATTCCTATACTGTTTTTTGTTTTTCAGAATCTATTTCGTTAAACAAGTATTACTAACTTTCTGTTTTATTTTTTCAGAAAGTTTAATTTTTTATTACAGCAATACAGAATTATAACAGTCATATCATTAACGGAATAGAAAGTTTAAAGTTAAATTATTTTTAAATATGGAAATACAATAACAANATTAGTGCCTGATGCGGGAAGGGTTTCTTGTCCCATGAGTGGATTCTCCATTTTTTTAATGAATCCTAACTATTACCATTTTCTATTACGGAGATGTGTGTGTAGAAGAAACAGTATATTGATAAAGAAAGTTTTTTCCGAAGTCAAAAGAGCGATTAGGTTGAAAAAATAAAGGATTTCTAACCATCTTATTATCCTATAACACTATAACATAGACCAATTAAACGAAACGAAAAAAAAAAGAGATGATAGAGAATCCGTTGAGAAGTTTACCTGTATCCAAGGTATCTATTCTTACTAAAATACTTTGTTTTAACTGTATCGCACTATGTATCATTTGATAACCCTCAAAATCTTCCGTCTTTGGTTCAAATCGAATTTCAAATGGAAGAAATCCAAAGATATTTACAGCCAGATAGATCGCAACAACACAACTTCCTATATCCACTCTCGCCCGTTCAAACTCTTCTGTCCATCCCATCTAAAACCCTTGAATCAGTGAATCCGGGGGCTGTCGCCGCCTGATAGAGGCAGAAGCGGGGGCCACCGGAGCTATCTGCGTCGAGTGTTTCGATTGAAAGAGGAAGGGAGACAACTCAAATGCCAGCACAGAAATAGAAAGAGTCGTGCTTCAAAGTGGAATTCTTCTAAGATCCATTGCTCGATTTTGCTGCATAAAATCTCACTAAGTGGTTCTGGAAGGGTAACGTGTATTTGTGAATAAGAAAGTATGATATTATTCTAAGGACGGACTGAAAAGGATAGGAATAGTATGCCACATAAATTGGAATGGAGTGAGCAGACGACAATATGTGGAAGGAAAAGCAAGTATGCTCCGAGAACTCACCACACCTTGGCCACCTGTAGCAGACCATCCATCAGGAATACTGAAAGATCGAAAATGGTACCATTCACTCATACTAGCCTTTCCCAAAATCAAAGCACCATCATTCCTTAGCCTCTCCACAACTGTAGCATCTCTACGCACCTCTGAACCTAGCAACGCGTAAGACCCCGCAGTAGTATTAAGTTTATCCTTTGTTGCTATGCTATCTTTGACCAGAACAGGAATACCGTGTAAACTGCTCATTTTCTTCTTAATTATCTCCCTTTGTTTATCAGCTTCATCGGCTTGTTTTCGCACGTCCGGATTCACTTCGATAACTCCACGAAGAACAAGATTAAGGGTCTCAATTTTATGCAAGTACAAGTCAACGAGTTTTCTTGATGTGAGCTTGTTTTGGGCAAAGGCCAATTGTATGTCTTTGATTGTAGCTTCTTCAATATTGAAATGGTACTCCTGCTCGCAATTTCCATTTGTGTTATTGAAACTGTATACGGATAAAATCGATTAGTCCGTAGTACGAACTGGTCGAGATGATAATACTTTGATTGAGGAGCGTCTTCGTAATATCAGGTTGAAATCCGAAGTCAGGTCATCAAGATTCGAGTTCTAGGACCGATCAATGTCAAGCTCGATATCATTATCGAGCTCGAATCCAAATCGAACTATGAGGCGAAGCAAAATTATCGAGCTTAAGATTCATAGACTGACCGGCACCGATCCCGAATCAATACCGGACTTCGAGTCAGAATCGAGCTCGAGTCAAGATCGAGAGCTCGAGTCAATGCCGAGCTCGCGCCAATATCGAACTCACAGACAAGAGCCGTTGCAACCGCACTAGGGGAGAGAATCCTGGCGGGAATTAGGAAAAAGTTAATTCATCATGAGTTCCTCACTATGTTTTTTTTATTATATCTAAATCAAGATCCCTCCACTATAAAAGGGATGATTGTTGTTTCTGTAAAGCATCAAGACATTTATACATTGTAACAAGAACTCTATTTCTCATATTGAAAGATTAACCCTTTGAGCTCTATTACTTCATCATATTTTGCTCATTCATTTTCCTCCTTCCAACTGTTTTTATCTGTCATTCTTTATAGTCAAGGTTGTATATTTCTATTCCTTTCGACAATTTGTGTTAAATTATACCACATACCCTTAGAACTACATACAAATTCAACTCTATCCGATTTTCCAGGTAAACAGTTTGGCACCCACCGTGGGGCTAAGGATAATAGTGGTTATTTGATACAAATCTGCAACACACACCAGTTTACGCTTGTCTTTTGAAAGTGTCTTTGACTTCGGATTAGCAATGACAAACCCTCGATTAATGGCTTTACCTATTGACAACGAAGTCGACCTTCAAGATAAAATCAACAACTTGACGCCTAAGGCCGGAAGGCCGCTTATCGATGTCGTGGAAGCTCGAGTCAAAGTACCTGAAGCTCGGGTCCAAGTACCACTAGACATTAATTCGCATGTGGCCCTTGAGGCAAACCAACATTCTAAACCTGAAAATAGAGTTCATGGTGGTACTGATCTGCAGCTCGAGACACCCATAAAGTTGAGGAAAACGTAGTCAGCTTGCGTATGATTTTTTAAATGCTGCAAGCCCAACAGGTAGCAATAGCTTAGTTGCAGAGCCAAACCCAGGTACCGAGCAGGCCGGAGCCCAGTCCACCTCGAGAAATTGCACACAGAACGGAGCCAGCTATAGTAAGATCAAATGAGCAAGAATCGGGGACTACTCCTGAAATTTCTAAGATACCCGAGGAGCTCACAAAGCGGATCGAAGCAAACGATAAAAAAGTAGAAACATATAACTCCAGGGTCGATCATATCCCGTGGGCACAACCAATGATAAAAGGGTTGGATTCCAAAAAAATTATGCAAAAGCCTTTTCCCTCGAGTGCAGCCCCAAAAGTAATCCCCAAAAAATTCCGTATGCCCGAGATTCCTAAATATAACGGAACGATCGACCTCAATGAACACGTCACCTCTTACACATGTACCATCTAAGGTAACGATTTAGAAGATGATGAAATCGAATCTGTGTTGTTGAAAAAATTCGGAGAGACCCTTTCAAAGGGAGCAATGATTTGGTATCACAACCTGCAACCGAATTCCATCAACTCCTTTGCCATGTTAGCAGATTCTTTCGTAAAGGCACACGCCAGTACCATAAAAGTTACAACAAGGAAATCGGACCTTTTCAAATTTAAACAAAGGGATAATGAAATGTTGAGGGAGTTCGTGTCCCGATTTCAAATGGAACGCATGGAATTGCCACCGGTCACAGATGATTGGGCCGTTCAAGCTTTCACCCAAGGGTTGAACAAGCGAAGTTCGATAGCATCACGTCGGCTAAAATAGAATTTGATCGAGTATCCAACCACAACTTGGGCACATGTGCACAATTGATATCAGAATTTGACGACCAATTAGGAGCTCCTTCTGGATCAGTACATCCAAACAGGCCGGTTATTAAAAACTAGGGGGACATCGATAGAGAGCCAAGGTCGAACAGGGACCGATATCAACCATACATCGCAGATCGAAGGAACAATGGTTCGGGACGCAATTCCGCCCGAAACAATCGAAGAAGTGATCGAGGACAGAATGCTCGGGGACTTATGAGCAAATGTGGTTTTGACAAATATGTTGATCCAATAGAGGCACCTCGGTTATCGGAATATAACTTTAGCATCGATGCATCGGGCATTGTATTGGCAATCGGAAGGATCAAAGATACTAGGTGGTCCAAACCCATGCAAATCGATCCTTCCCAAAGAAACCCAAATTCAATGTGCAAATATCATGGCACACATGGCCACAAGACCGAGGATTGAAGGAAATTAAGGGAGGAGGTAGCCCGTCTATTCAATGAGGGCCACCTTCGAGAGTTCCTCAGTGATCGAGCCAAGAATCATTTCAGAGAGAGAGACGCCAACAGAAAAAATAAACAAGAGGAACCCCAACATATCATTCATATGATCGTCGGTGGTGTCGACACTCCACAGAGACCCATACTCAAACGCACAAAGATACCGATCACTAGAGAAAAACTAACCCGAGATTACGTGCCCGAAGGCACTTTATCATTCAACAACGAAGAAGCCGAAGGCATTTCTCAGCCCCATAATGACGCTCTGGTAATTTCTATCTTGTTAAATAAAGTTCAAGTTAAGCGTGTTTTAGTGGATTCAGGTAGCTCTGCGAATATCATCCGATCGAGGGTCGTGGAGCAGCTCGGTCTGCAAAATCAAGTCGTGCCCGCAACTCGGGTCTTAAACGGCTTAAATATGGCCAGTGAAACAACTAAAGGGGAGATTATTCTAACGGTGAATGTAGCTGGGACCATCCAAAATACCAAATTACACATAATCGAGGGCGACATGAGGTACAATGCCCTACTCAGAAGGCCTTGGATCCACAATATGAGGGCGGTACCTTCGACTCTCCACCAAGTAATGAAATTTCCGATGTCGGACGATATAAAAACAGTGTGCGGGGTCGACGAGATAACGCTGATATCGACACTATCAACCTCGAAAAGGTCAAGCATCAAAGGTAAACGAGAAGTTAAATAGCAATCACAGCCGCCAGCCTCGACCGAATCGGGGAAGCAAGAAATAGAAGAAGAGGAGAAGGATTTTCTGACCCCTCAAACTTTTATCATCTCCGAAGATTCCGATGCCACCAAATCAACGATCGAAGAGCTGGAACAGGTTATATTGATCGAGCATCTACCCGAGAGAAAGGTATACCTGGGAACGGGATTGACCCCCGAACACAGGAAAAAACTTATTCAATTTTTTATCGATAACATAGATTGTTTTGCTTGGTCCCATTTAGACATGACATGGATCCCACCGTCAATAACAACGCACTGGCTGAGCCTGGACCCTAGGTTCAAACCGGTGAAACAAAAAAGAAGAACTCAGTCCGAGGTAAAGCACGCATTCGTAAAGGGCAATGTAACTAAACTTCTCAAATTAGGGTCGATTCGGGAAGTAAAATATCCCGAATGGTTAGCCAATGTATTCGTAGTCCCTAAAAAAGGGAACAAACTCAAAATGTGTGTAGATTATAAGGATTTAAACAAGGCGTGCCCCAAAGATTCTTTTCCACTGCCTAATATCGATCGCATGATCGATGCTACGACCGGCCATGAGATCCTTACTTTTCCCGATGCCTATTCCGGGTACAATCAGATTCAAATGAACCTGGAGGACCGAGAAAAGACTTCATTTATCACCAAGTATGGAACACATTGTTATAATGTAATGCCCTTCGGGCTAAAAAATGCATGAGCTACTTACCAACGCCTAGTAAATAAAATGTTCGAAGAACAAATAGGTAAGTCAATGGAAGTTTATATTGATGGCATGCTAGTTAAGTCCCTGCGCGCCTACCATTTGACTCATTTACAGGAGACGTTCGAGATTTTAAAGAAATACAACATGAAGCTCAACCCCGAGAAATGTGCTTTCGGGGTTGGTTCTGGCAAGTTCCTTGGCTTCATGGTATCAAATCGGGGAATCGAGTTCAATCCTGATAAAATCAAGGCCATCGAAGACATCACTGTTGTGGATAGTGTAAAAGCCGAGCAGAAGCTAACCGGACGGATAGCCGCCTTAGGCCGATTCATTTCGAGGTCGTCGGATCGAAGCCACAGATTCTTCTCTCTACTCAAAAAGATGAACGATTTCGCCTGGACCCCGGAATGCCAACAGGCATTAGAAGAATTGAAGCGATACTTGTCGAGCCCACAACTGCTTCACACACCGAAGGCAGATGAGAAACTTTACTTATACTTGGCGATATCAGAAATCACGGTAAGTGGCGTCCTATTTCGAGAAGAGGAAGGTACGCAATTTCCTACTTATTATGTAAATCGAACCTTAGGAGAAGCAGAAACTAGATATCCACACTTAGTGAAATTGGCACTTGCATTGATAAGCGCCTCTAGAAAGTGAAGACCATACTTTCAATGTCACCCCATATGCGTGTTAACCACTTACCCACTTCGTAATATTTTGCACAAGCCCGAAGTTGAAAAAGAACTCTTGATAAAATCAGGCACATCATCGGGGGTTTGGACCCTCTTCACATATGGTGCTTCGAATGTGAAGGGGTCCGGGCTTGGCATCGTTTTGAAACCCCCCCACGGGTGGCACTATTAGGCAATCTATCAAAACTTCTAGGTTGACTAACAATGAGGCCGAGTACGAGGCCATGATTGCAGGTCTCGAGCTAGCTAAAAGCTTGGGAGCATAAGTCATTGAAGCCAAATGTGACTCTTTACTAGTGGTGAACCAAGTAAACAAAACCTTCAAAGTTCGAGAAGATAGAATGCAAAGGTATTTGGACAAATTACAAGTAAATTTGCACTGTTTCAAGGAATAGACGTTACAACATGTGCCTCGAGAACAAAACAGTGAAGCCGATGCACTCGCAAATTTAGGGTCATCAGTCGAGGAAGATGAGATCGACTCGGGGACTGTCGTTCAACTCTCGGGATCCGAAATCGAGGAAGGTCATGCCGAGATAAATTCTACAAGCTTAACTTGGGATTAGAGGACTAATTATATTGAATACTTGAAGAACGGAAAACTCCCATCGAACCCTAAAGAATCGAAGGGCCTACGAACCAAAGCTGCTTGATTCACGTTGGCTGAAGATGGAACATTATACAGAAGGATATTCGATATACCATTGGCAGTATGCTTAGGACCAGGAGACACCGATTATGTTTTACGAGAGGTCCATGAAGGCACTTGTGGAAACCACTCCGGCGCCGAACCACTGATTCACAAAATCATCAGAGCAGGATACTACTGGGATAGCATGGAAAAGGACACTAAGGAGTTTGTTCGAAAATGTGATAAATGTCAAAGGTTGGCACCGATGATCCATCAACCCGGAGAACAACTTCATTCAGTCATGTACCCATGACCATTCATGAAATGGGGGATGGATATCGTCGGCCCTCTACCATCGGCCCCAGATAAAGCTAAGTTCATTTTGTTTATGACTGACTATTTCTCTAAATGGGTTGAAGCACAGGCGTTCGAGAAAGTGAGAGAAAAAGAGGTTATAGACTTCATCTGGGATCACATCGTGTGTCGATTTGGGATACCCGCAGAAATAGTATGCGACAATGGTATGTAATTTATCGGCAGTAAAGTGACAAAATTTCCCGAAGACCATAAAATAAAAAGGATATTGTCAACACTGTATCACCCCAGTGGGAACGAACAAGCCGAATCGACAAACAAGACTGTCATCCAAAACCTGAAGAAAAGGTTGAACGAAGCTAAAGGGAAATGGAGAGAAATTCTGCCCGAAATCCTTTGGGCATATCGAACAACATCGAAGTCCAGTACGGGGGCAACTCCGTTTTCTTTAGTGTATGACTCTAAAGCATTAATTCTAGTCGGAGAACCCAGCGCAAGGTTTCGACATACATTGGAGAAATCAAACCACAAGGCTATGAATATTAGCCTCGAATTATTAGATGAAAAACGAGAAGCGACACTTGTTCCAATGGCTGCGCAAAAGCAACGAATCGAAAGGTACTACAATAGATGAACCAACCTCCGCCACTTCAGGATCGGGAACTTAGTCCTAAGGAAGGTCACCACCAACACTCAAGATCCTAATGAAGGGAAGCTCGGCCCGAAATGGGAAGGACCCTATCAAGTCCTCGATACAGTCGGAAAAGGGTCTTATAAACTCGGAACGATAGATGGCGAACCATTATCAAATAACTGGAACATATCACTTCTCAAACGATATTATTGTTAAGGTATGATTTTCTCCCTTCTTTCATCCATATGTATTCGATGCTAACTCATTGCAGGAGTTCGACCAAAGACATCGAGACCTCAGGTTTTAAAGTACGCATTGCACTCTTTTTCTCTTAGATCGTTTTTTATCCCAATGGGGTTTTTCCGATGAGGTTTTTTAACGAGACAACAACTATGTGCTACCTGAGGACAATTCAATAGTATCCAAGGCTTCTTTACAATCAACCTCGAATACCCGCTTTACCATCGAATAAATAGAGTTTGATACAAGAAAGTTATTTCATATCAAATTCATGTCAAATAGGGTCTCGATAGGGAAAAGTGTAAGGGCCAAATGGTCAAAACGAACCAGCATACGGGTCTTTTCCAAAAATAAAGGATTGCTAAGTGGTTCGTATGCCTACTTGATGAAAGGGAACGAACAACCCGTCATTTCCAGGTTTATGGATTGGATTCAGTCAGCCTCACGACATTGCTCGCATAGTTTTGCTCGAGCACTGGCGCAAAATACGAACATATGTATAATGACTTCTTTACCGATATTTTGAAAATTTCATTCTGCTTCATGATTCAAACAGGCTTAAGGGTCGACCACTACCGAAAGAGTTTTTGAAAAACTTACACCATAAAAGCCTACGGGCTACAATACTTCGAGTTCGAGTTCGAGTTCGAACAATCACTCACTCGACTATTTAGCCTAAAGGCTATCTTACTTCGAGTTCGAGCAATTACTCACTCGACCATAAAGCCTATGGGCTACAATACTTCAAGTTTGAGCAATCACTCACTCGACTATTAAGCCTAAGGGCTATCTTACTTCGAGTTCGAGCAATCACTCACTAGATGGGCTACAATCTTCGAGTTCGAGTTCGAGCAATCACTCACTCGACTATTAAGCCTAAGGGATATCTTACTTCGAGTTCGAGCAACCACTCACTCGACCATAAATCCTACGGGCTACAATACTTTGAGTTTTAACAATCACTCACTCGACTATTAAGACTAAGGCTATCTTACATCAAGTTCGAGCAATCACTCACTTGACCATAAAATCCTACGGGCTACAATACTTCGAGTTTGAGCAATCACTCACTCTGCAGCAAAGAGGTCCATATTTTTTTTCAATTTCAAGGACTCCGCCTTTATCATATCGATCTCCTCACGGAGTTTCCCGATCATCTCAAGCTTTTGCTGCAAATGTGGGACCGAAAAATTAGCCATCGTTCCAATATCGAGCCCATAGGCTTTTAATAGTATCATTACCTTCTCGGTCAGATCGATCTGACCTTGGTGAGCCTTGGCCAACTCAGCTCGGAGGTCCTTAATTTCCTCTCCCCTTTGCTCTAAGAGGAGTTTAAGGGTGTTCCTCTCCTCTGTGACCCGTTGGAGGTCGGCCTCGCATCGATGCAGCTCGACACGAGACCGAGAACATGCTTCTCGATGAACTGTTGCGACTTATGAATAAAGAAGAAATGAAGTTAGAAAAGAAAAACAAACATAAAGATAATGCCAACAAAGTAAGTTAAATCTTACCCAATTCAAAGCCTGTTGCACTCCGTGGAAAATATCCGTTGCATCACTAGTGTCGTCAACATCGTCGACACCAGTAAACAGATCACGAAAAAGGTCCTCTCCCTTATGANTGGATCCCATTTTGAGAAGTTTGGTGTCACGCCCCAAACCCGGGGGGGCGAGACCGGCACCCGGTGCCTCATCTATCCTTGCGTTCCAACTTGCGACTAAGGGACTATGAACATATAATGTCATACTTTGGCCATGGGCCACATTGCAAGACAATTTGCAAAGCAAAAATCAAACTGAACGGAAACTAACGCTGACTAAACAGCAATATAAAGCTGGGCCAACAAGGCCATCATAATTACTATAAATGATAAACCAACCAAATATACATACAAGGCCTACAAGCCCAACATACTACACTAACTGACAGGATAT